ATGCAGAGGCGAATGGACACCATGGAGAAGCTTTTGCGAAGGGTTCATGTGGAATTATTAGATACTGAGGATGACGATGAGACTCAGCCCCCGTATCAGGACCTAGGTGATGACCACGATCATGCAGGTCATCCACCAGCATGACTTTTGTATCTTTGTTGGATGTATATGACAGGGACTATTGTCCATAGACTATTTTGATTAGTATATGATAGGGACTTTTGTATATGTATGTCCCTGTTTGATTAGTATATGTCTTGGACATTTATACATATAGGACTCTTTTGATTTGTATATGACAGGGGACTTTTGTATATGTATGTCCCTTTTGATTAGCATATGTCTTGGACATTTTTAGATATAGTACTCTTTTGATTAGTATATGATACGGACTTTTGTATATGTATGTCCCTATTGATTAGTATATGTCTTGGACATTTATATATATAAGACTCTTTTGATTTGTATATGACAGGGGACTTTTGTGTATGTATGTCCATTTTGATTAGCATATGTCTTGGACATTTTTAGATACTCTTTTGATTAGTATATGATAGGGACTTTTGTATATGTATGTCCCTATTGATTAGTATATGTCTTGGACATTTATATATATAAGTCTGTTTTGATTAGTATATGACAGAGATTTTTGTACACATAATTATATTAAAATCATATTATTGTGGTATGTTACTTTAATTATATTTGTTTATCAGGTGTGAAACATAAATTGATATTAATTTTGTAGAGAAAAAATTAATCAAAACATTTTTAAGAATTTTTTGTAGAAAATTTTCGACGGAATTTGTTTTCCGTCGAAAATTATTAAAAGATTTTTCGACAGAATTTCATTCATTTTCCGTCGAAAATTTTCGACAGAATTTGTTTTCCGTCGAAAATCATTAAAAGATTTTTCGACGAAATTTCATTCAATTTCCGTCGAAAAATTTCGACAGAATTTATTTTCCGTCGAAAATTATTAAAAGATTTTTCGACGGAATTTCTTTTATTTTCCTTCGAAAAATTTCGACAGAATTTATTTTCCGTCGAAATTTTCCACAGAAATTATTCCGTTGAAAAAATTCGACAGAAATTCGACGGAAATAATTTACGTCGAATTTTTTCGACGGAATTAGAGATTCTGTCGAAAAATTTGTTACCTACGAAGACTTATTCGACGGCTTCTTTTCCGTCGAAAATGTCATTTTCGACGGAATTTTAATCATTTTCGACTGAATTTTTCCGTCGAAAAAAATGCATTTCCTAGTAGTGGATTTTAGTGGATTTTGTGTTAGTGTGAATTTCGTGAGACTTTTTAGTGAGAAATATAAATAGGATATCTCTTCCACGATCTCACCCAACCCCTAGTATTTCTTAAGATTCCTCTATTGCAGTGTTTCTTTTTTCTTTAGCGGGTTGACTCATTCAAAATCGAGTTCCACCATAAAATAACAGATTTTTTGAGCAATTTTCATCACAAAGCAACTCAAAAACAACAACCCAACAAAATTCTAATATAATCCATCTCAAAAATAGCATATTTTTTAGAGCTTTTGGAAGTTTAAAAAACGAGGAAAAACAACAAGGGAACAAAAATTCCCAAACCAATTTTTATATCAATGAAACGATATTGATTTAAAGAAAAATTGAAACTTACTCTCATAATATGAACCTATCATTCGTAGCAATACATTCATGAATGAAATTCTTTCGTTATAGGAAATGATTTCAAATAATTTTTTGTGTATCACTAAAAACTTGCTTTTCAAAAGCCCTAAAGCAATTTGAGGTTTCAATGTATCGATTGAAAATAATTTGAGAAATTTTTTAAACTTTCATGTATTAAAACCCATGAATTCATATTCCAAATTTTCTTATAATACTCAATGAAAATACACATATGATATATGGTTAGAAAACTCTCATCTCGTAAAACAAAAGTCAAGATCAATAGCAAAAAATTTCAAACAAAATTTTATCATAAACTTTAGATTTTATATGCAAAATTTGAAATACTTTAATATAAAAAAATTGTGGGTTTTATAAAATATATACATAGCTCTAATACCAAAGACATTAATTAGTCCTTGATTTGGGATAATAAATTTTTTATCATAGCTATAATAAAATTTCTATTATAATTATGTCATTTACATTAATAATAATTTAAAATTGTCAACTTATTTTTTTAAAAAAATTATATTTTTTAACAAATTAGTACTTGATTTAAATTTGATTAGGACTTTAATCACATTAAATTATTAATACCTCTTCAGATTATGTAATTTACTGCCTGTTTGTATTTTTAATTGAAAATATGTTTAAAATTTTATAATAATTAGATAAATTTTAAAAGAAAATGAAAAATAATAATTTTAGTACTTTTTCCTTGAAAGTCAGAAAGAATAACTAAAAAAGCTCCAAAAAGTTTATACCATAAAAGTGTTTTTTTTTTCAAAAAATTATTCAAATACATCCTTATACTTTGATATCAATTAATTTAACATTTGATTAGATATTATTAATTGCCTCCTAACTTGTGTTCTTGCTTAGAATTCGAGATGGTGTTGAGATTGTTAACATGGCAGAGATTATTTTTCTTTCTTCATAAGAAGCATAGATCAAATAGTGGCTTGCTCCTGTCATGATAAAAGAGTGTTTCCTTTCATGCTAATTGCTACTTGAAATGATCAAACGTTTAAGGGGTGTAATGATTGAGATTTCAAAGTATTTTAATGAATTGTTTTTAGACAAAAAAAAATCCATTGATATTCAATTAGGATTTTAAAAGATTGAAAAAAAGTCACGTGATACTCGATTAAGATTTTAAAAGATTATTTTAGAGTCTGTCCGAATCTGTTGATATTCAATCAAGATTTTAAACTAAGGAAAAATAATCTTGTGGTATTCAAAAATCTGACAATTATAATGGATTTTCTATTGGTGTAAATTTCGTGAGACTTTTTAGTGAGAAATATAAATAAGATGCCTCTCTCACAATCTCACCTTAACCCTAACTCCTAGTATTTTTTGAGATTTCTCCATTGCAGTGTCTTCTTCTTCCTTTGGCAGATCGAACCGCTCGAAACTGGGTTCCACCATGGGAGTTTCGTCAAAGCTCAAAAACAGTAGATTTTTGAGCAATTTTCATCACAAAACAACCGAGAAATAACAACCCAATAAGATTTTAATCTAATCAACCTCAAAAATAGCATATTTTGGAGCAATTTTTGAGAGTTTTCGAAAGTTTAAAAAATAATTTTTCAAGTTATTGGTCGCAATTTTTCTTGGTACAAAAATGTAGTATTTTTGTATTAGAAACAACATAAAACAGTAGAAAAATAACAGGGGAACAAAAAACCCCCCAAACCAATTTTCGTTTTAATTTAATGAAACAAGATCGATTTAAAGAAAGATTGAAACTTTCATAAAATGAATCCTATGTTTCATAATAATACATTTATGAACGAAATTCATTTTCTATAGGAAACGATTTCAAACAATTTTTGTGTCAATAGATCACTAAAAACTTATTTTTCAAAAGCCCTAAAGCAATTTAGGTTTCAATGTATCAATTGAAAATAATTTGAAATTTTTTCTAAACTTTCATGTAATAAAATCCAAAAATTCAGATTTAAAATTTTCTTGGAATACTCAATGAAAACATGCATATGATATATGGTTAGAAAACTCTTATCACGTAAAACAAAGATCCCAAGGTTTACAAGATCAATTGCATAAAATTCCAAACGAAAATTTATCATGAATTTTACTAATTGAGAAAATTATATTATGCTTTACTTTTTTTTATTAATATCATTGCATTTCTTTGTTAATTTTTTTTATTGACTCTTGCAATTTTGAATGTTTGTTAAAAATTCATATGATTTTTAAAAATCTTATAAATCCATATTGTCCTTTCAAATCTTATAGATTCTATTAAAATCTTTTAAAATCCAATTTATGAAATCTTAATTGTAAAAAAATTCTTTTAAAAAAGTCTTTAAAATCCCTTCAATTTAAATAGTCTTTTAAAATCTATAAGATTTTTTATCTCAAAAAAATCTTTTAAAATTCAAATCCAATAGACCCCCTCTTAATTAATAAAAGGTTATTTTTCAGATTACCAAAAAAAAAAAGGTTATTTTTCATAGATTTTAAATATTTATTTTGAAATTAACATTTAATAAATGATTGACAACTTAGCTTTCTACTATACCAATTCTCCAAACTTCAATATTATCTCCACAGCTATCGAATGAAGCAAGGAATGACGCCATCAGAGCTGCTGCTGGTGTTCTACTAGTCCAAAACTCCAAATAACTGAATTTAATTTTGGTATGGACACTATATGGTCGCATAACATTCGAACCACGATCAGACCTTAAATTTTGCTTTACCTTACTTGAAAAACATATTTTGCAAACTACCAAGTAGGCAATGCTGGAGTGTCAGAGATGCCACAACTGGTAGAATTAAAGGAAGACTAAAAACTCTTTTGCAGACTCCCAGCAATCTCTTTTGCAATTTTTATTCATATTGATTGTTAAGTAGCTTATGATTAAATGCATGTTAATTTTATCATTTTTTTTTTTTTTTTGAGTAATTCATATTGTCATACGCTCCTGGACTTTAATAACAGTGGTAATTTTGAAGAATGTTGGTTATATATGGCCACAATTAGAAAGTTCATCACAAAATGTAAATGCAGAAACAAGGTTTTTTTTTTTTTTTTTTTTATGATCACAATAAATTTAATGCCTTAAAAATAATTGATACTTTCAAATTATTAGGCTGAATTGCTAAGATATAGAAAGATTCTCATTTTCTCCTGTCTTTCGCACGACAGGTAACAGAAACGAAATATTCATCATTGCCTCTGGCTGCTGCTCCTTACAGATACAAGTAAATCCTACTATAGGAATATAAGACAGCCTCCAGTTTAGCCGTAAGAAAGTATACATCAAACGAGATAATTTTATCTTTTAGTGATAACCAAATGAAAGAAAGTTTTGATGGATATGACTATTAACTAGCACCAAAATCAAGTTTATGAATATTCACAAAAATACTAACTAGTACCAAAATCAAGTTTTGGTGGGTTGGGGGGGTATGAATATTAAAATAGTTTTCACTGGATCGACAAATATACCCATTGAAACCAAACTACACTAATCTATTTATGATTTATCGGCCTTACGCGTTTACCAACTTAAGCCAAGAGGACAATTTCACCACGCGAACCTGCCATCAATAAACCCAAAAGAACAATGGTCATTTTACTTACTAAATTATGGTTCGAAATTTATTAATGAGTAGATGGGGTTGCTTATCTGCAGTACATTTCTCATAAATCTCTTTCACGAGCTGTAACATTGAATCAGTATCTTCAGCCAGCCTTGAGATTCTTTCCACCTCCTTCACTGCCTCAGCGGCCAAAAATGATTTGTTCTCCGCATCAGCAACTCTGTAGGCTGCAGTATCAGCGGCATCCTTTATTGTCTCTATAGATGTCAATAAACTAGAGGCTGGTGATTGCCGAGGCCAGACATCCTCTTGTTTTGGAGCAGGTGATTTTGGTGCAGTTAATTTCGTCCCCGTTGGGGTGTCCTTTTTTATCTTGTAACAATTCTGTACCTGCAAGGGATGTAAATAGTTGGGAAATCCATGTAGAATCAAGAAAACAAGTTTCAAGATCATTCAGCTTAAATATATGAAATTTTAGCATATGTGCCATGTGTGCAGAGTCTCCAAGGAAAGATAGGTGTATAGCCTGTGGGCAGCGACAATTTTCTTTGGAATAAAAGATTTCTTCTTTATCCTTTTGACGAAAAGGAGTACAAAGAAAAGGAGGATAAGACATGCCCCTCATAGAAGCTACAAAATTAAGAAAAGCAAAGCACAGTATCATTACTAATACAAAATAGCTCTTCAATAGTGGCATGTCTAGCAAAAAAATAAGGGGGAAGGGGGAAGGGGGAAGGGGATATTGACAGTTATTGACCGATTTTGGAGAGAAAAAATTGTGTGGATGGAAAATATTTACCGTTGTGGTGTTTGTAGAGATGCTGATGCTATGGGCACCTCTCTTTTACATTAAAAAAAATCTGTAGAGCGCCACATGGCCCAATGAGGTGGAAGGCATTGCAGCCTCAGCACCTTCCACTCATTGGTCCCCATGGCACGCTGCAGTGAACCCATTCCCATCCAATGATACCATATCTCAACTTTCCCGACTGGGTACCAAGCAGACCTATGAATACACACTCGAGCTTGCTTACAGTTGCAATAACTCAAAACAATAATCAAAACTTGAAGGCAGAGAAGAGAAGGGGGAGGGAGGAGGCGGGCAATAGCTAAATAAAATTTATGAGATTACCTCATCTCCGTTATTCGAACAGCTTGTGATTCTGAGTAGTGGGTTTCCGAGAAGGAAATCAAGGGAGTTGTGCCAAAGAAGAGGACATGTCAGATCACAAGTACTTTGTGTGGAAAAAACCAATGGCAAAATTAGCAGTAAAACATGAGAAGTTTGGTGAAAATAGGGGTGATGTTGGAGGGAACAGAGGAGTGGGAACAAATTTGAGGAGGAAAAAAACATATGTACGAGAAGAGATTAGATTGAGAGAGAGAGAGAGGCTGTGTTGTCTTCAGGGATTCCTCAGAGAAGAGAAGACCAGTATCTTGCAAAAGGACATCAGCATGTCATACGGACCAATAAGGTGGAACATGCTAGTTGGGTCACGTGGCACTCTGCAGGATTTTTTTAATGTAAAAGAGCGACGCCCAAATCATCAATCCCTCTCAAAACACCAAAATGGTAAATAATTTTCACCCATGCTCAAATCAAGAAAAAAATTTGAAAAATGGTCCACAACGGTCAATGTGGGAAGGGGGAGCTTACTCTTCAGAAAAAGAAATGATTTCATAATTCCATGTCAAGCAAGTATTAAAGCCTAGTGGCCCTAGTCAACCAAGTAACATGCTTCAAGGATAAAAGCTAAAAGGACTGAAAAGTTTCTTTTATGGTGCAGCAATGCCATATTTATTAAAAAATGGGAATCAGTACGTAAAGGAATGCAGATATATATTATACATAAGGAAAAGCTTCAAGGTTAAAATAATAAAATAGCTATTAACACATATTTCTATAAAAGCATCATAGAGGACTAATTTACCTTTTCAAGTTTCCCTTGACTAACAAGCCTTCTCAACCTTGTACCTAATGCCCTTCTGAAATTATGAGGAACCTTGTGTTTTTGCTGCAGTATTATATGACTCATTATTCCTTGTAAAGTATAAAATAAAAGCAAACTAGAAAATACCCTAGTAGTTAAAAGATTAATACGCATTTATGCACAATAGATGCAACATTGTAAACTACATTTCCACCCCCAAAAAAAAGTCCAGGGCCTGAGCACCGAAAGGAGGAAATTGTAACACAAACTCAATTGTTTTGATTTTGACTGAAATGCATGACAAAATGACCATAACTAACCAATAATATCTGTCTATAGGGCAGAAGATTTTTATTTTCACAACTGGAATGAAAAAGAAAAACTGTAATTGTAAGAAACTAAGAAATTGAGCATATTAATTCGAAATATCATAATAAAATGAAAATAATTTGCACAGGGTCAAAATCCCGGAACATCCTTTAAGTTTAGGAATTGATCTAAATTCTCGAATGTAAAATACAGATGGCAAAATGATATTTAAATTCACTGTTAGAATAGATATGATTAGATATGATTATATCTATTCTAATATTCACAAATGTGTCTTGTGTTATAAGGATCATTTATCCTCATATAAAAAAATGTTTATTACTCTCTTGCAAGACAGCACTGGTGAGTCATAGAATCTAATTGAACCGCAATAAATCCACCCAAGATCTTTAAGCACAATTTGATTTGTAAAATCTTTATGTTATGTAATCTCATAAACAGGGCATTCAATGAATCTACAAAATAGTGATAGCGTGTTACCAATATATAGGAAAAATATAACCCAAAAAAAAAGTCTGACCTCGATGAAACTAACAATGGCATTTATGTCAGAACCATTAGTATCCTTGATTGATGATAGAGCTTCAAAAATCATTGCATTGTACCTGATAAAAATAACGAGAGTACAATCAAACCCTCATGATATGGTCTTAATTGACAGGACAAATAATAAAAAAAAAGAAAGATATATCATATTAAAGGACTACCTCTAATTTATAACATATAATAACTTATGATAATCAACTAGAAATGATGTAACGCACATGCTATTTACACCGTCACGGTGCATAGTGGCCCCCCTCTGCGACCAATGCTATGTAACGCGACGATTTAGAGTTATGGCCGTGATCGCACTGCTACAGTGAACAGGGTGCAAATCCCATATTTGCACCACTGAGTGTTTTGTCCAATGCCAATATAAGGGGGCAAAATCGACTTTCGAACTCTTTTTTTATGTTGTGAACCCTATCCAAAGCTATCTCTCTCACACACAGCCTCTCAGCCCACTCCTCTCTTTGACTCAGTGCTCAATTGAATTTCAACTCCTTTTTATGACAACACTGATATATTACTGTTGTGAACCCGATCAAGCTCTATCTCTGTCACCCACAGCCTCTTTCAACCCACTCCTCTTTTTGACTCAGTGCTCTTTGTCTCTCAGCTTTCAGGCAAGACCATCACACTTGCAGCAGTTTTACGGAAAGCTATTGAGGGTTCGCTCCCTCCTTCGACCCAGTGCTCTCTCCCTCAACCCACTCCTCTCTTCAACTCAGTTGCAGCAAGGCCCCTAGTATTTGACAGTATTTACTATTTAGTTCCTTTCTCTTATGTTCCTTGAATTTTGTTAGTATTTGACAGTGGTTGTATTTCAATGAATTTGTGTTCCGGCTTTCATGTTTGAATTTTTTTATTTTTGAGCTTTTATATATGTGAAATATAATTTAGTATACCATTTACATGTTCACTATAGCGGCTATCGCTATACCACATTATCCCACCACTATAGCGGCTATACCACGCTATCCCACTATAGCATTTTCGGGGTCAGCTGCTATGCGTCACTATCCAAGATTGATAATTATGTAGTTCAATAACATCATATTCCACAGCATCACGACACCATGTTAAAAACAGATCTCTCCATCATAAAATACAATAATTGGTAATTTATCCTATCAAAATTGTGTGGAATTCATGATGCAAAACTATCATTGTACTTCAATTGTGTGGAAATTCAGGATTTTTAAGGAAAATACATCTCTAATTAAAGTTGTTACGGGTATGGGATATGATTGTATTCATGGCATCTCTTTGGTGCTCACTGCTCAGCGTGTAAATTCTTCCAAGTTTTTGTATGCAATAGAGGGAGGAATTATTTACATTTTGGTGATTGTGCTAAGTTTTTGAAATAAATACACAATCCTGTAATCCTTCTTACCCAGTAACAAAATTTCGGTTTTTAACCAAATGATGATAGATCAGTTGGCAAATGGGAGCTGAGCAGGTGGGGTAAAAGCATGTATTCAATCCTTCCTAGTACCATCTTTGAGAGCAGTACCATCTTTTGGAAGAATTTAAAGCCTTAATTATAGACGCCCCAAACTCCGGATTAGTCCATAAGGAACCTATAGAATTACAAGGGGCGAGAAATCCAAAAAAATAAAAAAAATTCTGTTTTTACACAAACCATGTAGAATGGGCGCACACACATTTAATACTCAATGGTAATATTGCATAGAGAGGGAAAAGAGGTTTATACCGAGGAGGACTTTGAGAAGGATGATCAGTTTGAGTTTGAGGAGCAGGAGCAGCATTTTGTGGAGCGGCAACTGGAGCTGGAGTTGGAGCAGGAGCAGGAACTGGAACAGGAACTGGAACTATTGCTTTGATCTTGGGAGTCCTAGACTTATCTTTAGATCCTTGACCATTGCCAACACTTAAATTTCGCCATTTATCCTGAACAATCATAACGATTTTATTTTGGATTTTTAAAAAAAAAAAAAAAAAACCTAAACCTAACCCTAACATTAACATTAACCCTAACCCTAGATTGAAAAATCCTGACCTTAAGGTCGATGTTGGAACGGCTAGTGAGGAAAGGGGCGAACTCGGGATCTTTGAGGATGTTCTTCCACTTGCCAGCACCGTGCTTCTGCACGCCGCGATGCAACGCGTCTTCTTCATCCGCCGTCCACTTTTGCTTCTGATTTCCCATTTCTGCTCTGCTTCGATTCAACTTTTCAACATAGAATTAGAACCCAATATATATCAACCATGGTCCATGCGTTGCGTTGCGTTTCCAAATTCAATTCAATCGGGAGTTACTTTTCAATGACAATTTAAATTTTTTTGGATTCAATTTTTTTTTTTTTTGGTACATTTTTTGGATTCAATTTAATTAGCTATTTTGCAATATCTTCCTTCCTTTTCCAACTTATCGCGTTTGGTAGGCACTATTCTTAGGATTTCGAGAAATTAAATTTTTTTAAATTTTTAATTTTCAGATATTATTGTAAACTGATGGTAAAGATTATATTTTTAAAAATCGAGATTTTCTTACCAAACACTCGAAACAGTGATCATTTTGCCACGTTTGGACAAAAAAATTACCAGACTGCCACGCCAACAGTAAATTTTGCCAAAATGTCATGCGGCATAATTCGCTACACAGTTTAGCGAATTATGCATGCAAGTAATTCGCTACACAGTGTAACAAAGTATGTCACGTCAGAACCAAAAATGCCACATGTCAAATTTTGAGAAATTCACTACCCTATGTAGCGAATTTCTCAAAATTTGACATGTGGCATTTTTTGGTTCTGTGCATTCTGACGTGTCATATTTCGCTACACTGTGTAACGAATTACTTGCATGTATAATTTGCTACACTGTGTAGCGAATTATGCTGCATGGCATTTTAGCAAAATTTACTATTGGCGTGGCAGTCTGGTAATTTTTTTGTTCAAGCGTGGCACTTTGGTCACTGTCCCCAAACACTCCTTAAACTCTGCGATGAAAAAAATCATAAATAGCAAATATTCAATAGTTTGAAATTGATAATTGTTATTATTAATTGAGGGAGATCAACTTGTATATTTAATAAGATTTATATTTATTATGATCTCACTTACATTTAGTATTTTATTAATAAATTAAAGTCGATAAATATAAATAAAATCACTAATTAATAATTAACAATTAATATAAGACTTAAATATATCTAATACAGTGTAAGTTAATCTTTCTGCTCTTAATTATATTATTCTTTATTTATTAATTATTTATAAAAATTTAGCTAAATTGCATTTAACTACTGCATTATATTTATATTATGATTCTTTCCTTTAATAGGTGATTCATTAATCAAATTATTAAATTAAATTATTTTTTTTGGAAACAAATTATTTTTTCAAATCTACATATACGGACATGGCACTTTTGGACATAATAAGGTGTTAACTATCATAAAAAACTAAAAGTGTGAAGAAGCACATTACAGTTTAAAGGATTTATATTATTTTGCAATAAGATTGAGTATAAAAAATATGAATTTATTCAGGTAAGAGATAGAGATCAAAATTCAATGCAATTGTTTCGACAAGAGGTATTCGAGAAAATTATTTTTTAATATTTATGATTTGTTTTGCAAAAAGTAGATAAATTTATGAGAATGTAAGCTATCATCCGAGCAAATTGGAAAGAATGATGCAGTGCATCATCATTTTTATGTTATTGTAAAATTACTTTGAGACTAAAAGAAAAGTTTTATAGAATAACTATAAAGCATCCAGTATTATACAAAGTTGAATGTTGGCCATAACACACAAGTGTGCAAATATAAAATGGGGGCTTTTTGACCCTTATGACCCTTAATTAATAATTAATTATCAAATTGTCCTTCATTCAAAACTATTTCGAAAATTTACCCTCCCTAACAAACATAACACCAATCTGCCCCTGTTTGACCGTTGACCACGAAGCCTACCCGGGTACACCATTACCTACCCGGGTAATTTTTGAAAAAAATTTATCTACCCGAGTATGTAGGGGTGTACCCGGGTAGAGTTCTTGAATCTGGGAAAATGGTTGAATTATTTACCCGGGTATGGATCAGTGTACCCGGGTAAATCGCGTCCAGAAACCCCAATATGTATGGGTTTCGGCCATTGTTGCGAGGTATAGGGTTTTTGAAACTCCAAATCTCTCTCTCTTACCCTCTCTAATCCGAAACATCACACATATTTTATCTCATCATTTCAGAAAGCTGAATCTTGGTGGGACATTGAGATTACATCTCCACACTCCCATTTTGTGCTCAAAAATCCGAACCAACCTCCAAACCCAAAACCTAGATCTAATTTTTGTGTGAAAGATGAGTTCAAGTCCAAACATGGTTCCTATAGTTATTTACTACAATGGGAGGCATTTTGAAGGTCCGAATGGTGTCCGATTTGAAGGAAAAACAAAAACGATGAAAATCAAAGTGGGCACTACATGCAATGAACTGAAGGAGAGAATTCTTCAAAAAATGGGGTCAGAAGGCATACATTCCATCCACCGCATGATAGCCAGGTTAGAGACTGTAGTGGATATGGATACAATATACTACATTGGAAACGATATAAATGATGATGAAGATGTGGAGTTCGTAACAGATGCGTTTGTTGAATGGAAAGTATTAAAATATATTGAGATATATGTTGAAGTTGATGTTGGACAATCTTCATCTTTACCGGTGCATACAACCACTACTACACACTGTACCGGTCAAGAAGATACAGTTGTACGATCTTCTGCACCTCCTCAGGTAGCATTGGATGAGGATGAAGAGGATGAAGACGGGGACTATGTGGACAGCGAAGATGAGGGAGAACCTGAAAGTGCTATTCCAGAAGGTGATTCGTCAGACACTGACGTGGACGGTAATTTTGAGGCTGACATGAGCGCCGTAAGTCTCGGTACCCCAGCCTTGTCACCACTTCATGTCGACCCAGTCAGTAGTGGTAAGTTATTAAATTTGAACATTTGCTTTAGACAATTTATTATTTGTGGTGGTATTCATTCAGACAAATGAGAGTTGATCTTTAGATGCAGGGTCTGAGGAGCCATTCTGGAATGAAAGCCAACATTATTCATTCATTAACTGGGCGCACCCTAATGACGAGTTGGAGATCCTATATGGCGATGATGACTTGCACGGAGGTTGGAAGTTAGGAGATCCGTTATTTGTGCAACAAGAATTTGGGTCCAAACCAGAATTGCAACATGCTGTGAAGATACATTGTATGAAGGGGCGCAGGACAGCCATAGTTGAAAAAAGCGACGAGTCAAGATTTGTTATGAAGTGTAAAAACCATGCTGATGGTTGTCCCTGGTATATGAGGGCAATTAAGCCGAAGAAGGGAGCTAATTGGGTGGTCCGTAAATGGGGTCAAGGTCACACATGCCTAAATCAAGGCCTAGCACAGGATCATAGACAATTGGATTCAAATGTCATTTGTGCGGCTATAATGAGTATGTATTCTACTGTGTATTTAATGATTCAGATTAATTGAGAATATGGTAAAGTTATTTTTTTTTCCAGATATGTTAAAGGAAGATCCATCCACAAGACCAGCTCTGATACAGGAGAGGATACAGGGAACATATGGATACAACATAACGTACAGGAAAGCCTGGAAGGCAAAAATGAAGGCCATCGTTAAGTTGTTTGGTGACTGGGAGAAATCGTACAGATTCTTGCCAAATTGGCTGAAGTATATGACGGAGGTGAATGTGGGTTCTGTGTTCAAGCTTGATACAAATAAATGTTTTGATGAACGTCGGGTTTATACAGACAGGGCCGTATTTCAAAGGGTTTTTTGGACATTTCACCAATGCATCGAAGCATTCAAACACTGCAAGCCTATAATTCAAATTGACGGCACTCATCTGTATGGGAAGTACAGAGGTACTCTATTGATTGCAACATCTCAGGATGGAGATGGATTTCTGCTCCCTATTGCCTTTGCTGTTGTTCCTCCAGGTGAGTAAATAATTTTGCTTTGGGGTATGTGAAAGCATGTGACCCTTCCGCCACTTGCTCGTGCTCTGTCTATATCCTCTAAAGTCAGTAGTCAGATCATATATGGATGCCATGACATGATCAAGTGTCCATCCACCCTCAGGAGGAGCTGGTGGTCGCCGACTGCGGGTGGGACGTGTCGGTCTGACATCAACCTCAGCAACGCCATCATCATCGTCATCATCATCAAGGCCTACATCATAAACCATGAAAAACACATCTTATAAATACCACATTAAAAAATAAACAACACAAAATTGCATAAACTCATAAAGACCAACACATCACCTGCAGGTGCATCCTCCATCTCAGCATCGTGGTGGAATGGGATCTCAGGTGGTTCTGGTGCCTTCTTCCACGTCCAGATACCCGCTCTGTTCGGTAGGATCCCACACTGCTTCAGGAGCCTCTCACCAAATATAGCATTCCAGCCTCTGGCGGTCTTCAAGGTCTCTGTTGCCATAGGCACTCCAAATCTATGCAGAATCTTCTGCACCAGAAATGCAAAAGGCAATTCAGCCTTCTTTGACTTGGCTGCCTTCCACATCAGTATGCATATGTAATGCCTCCAGTTCACCTGCTGACTGTGAAGGAGGGCCCACAGGATGACAAAGTCCCCTTCCAGCACCTTTGAGTGATTATGCAGGCGCTGGAAAATAATATGTGTCACCACATAATGAAGAATGCGAGCAGAAACTGACAAGTTGCTAACAGGATAATGAGCAAAATGACCGGGCTCAGCGTCTGCCCTCCTAGTCTCTGTAACAATGGTCTCCCGGTTATAATCACCAAATATATGATGGCTGTCTCCATCATATAGTGCTGCTCCTGTGACACCATCAAAATCGAACCCCAGTAGCTCCGTCCAGATAGGAGCAGTCATGATGATATCAATCCCGCAGACACGGGAAGTCAGCTCGCCTTGCGAGTAGCCAAGGTTCTGGTAGAAGGCTCTTACCATAACCTCCGAGTATGGGCACCGCATCTCCGCCAGGTGAAGTAAATGTGTCTGCTCAAGAAGCGGCACAATGTCAAAACGCTCTAGGTTGAAGAATGCCGAATCCAGTGATTTCGGTTCGCAGATCTTCCGGGTCATGAAAAACTTCACGAACTTCTCGTGTGAAGGTATGTCATCCTCAAACAAATATCCGAACGTCAAGTCCGGAGCCTGACTCGAAGCAGCCTGGGGCTGAGAGGATGACGACCCATCGTGACGACTCTTGGTTCTTCTCTCGGAATGGGTCACTGGCAGCTTTGAAACGCGTCGAGAGGTCATTGTGTCACACTATTAAACTGAAAAAATAACCAAAATCAGAAATTAGAT